GTAGTTCAACTTGATAGAGGAACTGAATGATGCTCCGCGAGGCTTTCACAAGCTACGTAACCATCCTTTAGAGAATGCTCAGTTGTTGACCTGTAAGTTAACATGTACAGGGGGAACTAACAAACGTGCAAATTGCCCCTCCGAGCCAAACAGCGCCCTTTTTCTGATTCGTACTGAAATGGGAAGTTAACAGCGCTACTACTTCTTTACGGCTAACCGCACTGACGGGTCACCAGTGATGAGAGATAATCTGCTTTCTTGAACAACTGTGAATTATACGTCCCTCCACCAGGGGACGTGATGATCACAACAGGGGGGGGGTCGTATTTATGCTCGTGGGAGAGGGGGTCGTAGGCGCAGGGCCCTTCCTGAAAAAAAGGGTGCAGCGATACCCATGTCGTTCAGCTTCAATGATGAAAGACTTATCCATGTGAAGAACCCCTGAAGAGACCCACACAAGACAGAAGCAACCTGCCAGCGCAGAAGTGGGGAACGGGAGATGCAGGGAATACGATAGCCGCCCATAACGACGTAACGACGTCATGAATCAATGAACAGATGAAAATACACTTCCGGACCTTTCTGATCGCAGAAGCACATCTACTTGCACGGAGGAAGCCCTATCTAGAAGTTGCACCTTCCCAATACCTCTGCGTGAAAGCGCTATGCATGGCGCATTACAGAAGTGATGCCAATCGCGCCCAATGAACTATTTCCTGATATCCTTTGCGAAAACATGTGTTTTAGAAGCATACCGAAGTCTTCAAACGAACTGGAAGTGGTATGGCGTCAGATGGGTGGGTTTTTTCGTCCGGCAGGGATCACGTTGTGATCACAACGGGGATTTTTTCGAATAGCAGGCCTAGGGATAAAATGAAAGTTTTGCTGGAAAGTAGAAAGCTTCGAAATTCCGGCACTTTTTCCTTTTTACGAATGGCCCTGTATGAAGCTTGTTATGGCTGTTCAAAGCGTAAGGACTTGTAAGCGATCTCGATGATCACGACCGGATCACAACAGGAGAAAATTTCTTGAAAAGGAATTTTTGAAATTGCTCAAATATAGTTGCCTAGTGCTTCACATTCCTGCTTTCCCCTCTCCGAAAGCTCTACTCTCAAAGAAGTTATGGGTGTTCAAGTGAGGGGTACTTTTCGAGTGTTTGGCTTGAAACTGGCTCCGGGTCGTGAAATAGCTCGCTCCAAAACTCGGCACGAAGCGCGCTCTAACTGTAATTGCACCTTTGAATGGCCGCGAACAATTAATATTCAAGTGCTGTCACTCGCATTTTCCCGCATTTTCTTTCTTTCCTTGTGTCTTTTGATGCTCATTTATAATTTATTACTTTTCTTAATTTATTTATGATTTATTATGGCTCATTTCCATCGTGTTTCTCATATTTATCCCTTGATTAACGTCG